ACCTCCCCAGCAGATACCATATGGGACACACAGGAGCCCTCCCCAAATTTCTGACCCACAGAATTGAGAGCAAAAAAAAAAAGTCCTTGCTGTTTTAAGTCACTAGGTTTGGAGATGATTTGTTATACAGGAATAGATAACTACAACAAGCATCTTATGGTTCTGTCTCTGAGTGGCTCCAATTGCTAGACACCTGGGCCACTATACCCTCTTCTGGTACTATCTTCTATTACTTCTGTCTACTATTACTATACTTCTATTACCTAATTTTATTCCAAGGGACCAATGAAACACCTTCTACAAAATGTTCTTAACAACATGAGAGAGTATTACACCAGTCATTGCAGGGAACATACATTTTAGACCTTGTTTCAAGCAAGACGGCATATACTATCTCATGCTTCTTGTTGGCAGACAGAATAAAAAGATGCTGCTGGAAAGCATTTCTTCAAGTGGGGTTTCAGAATTTTGTCCAACTTGTGACACTAAAGTTAGAAAAGTAGTCACTCATGGACATTTGTGTATGTGTGTGCATATTTCTAGAAAATTATAGCCAAGCCTAAGGGAATGCTCATTAAATATTAACTAAGATCTTAATAGTGTAAATTTTAAAGAATAAGTTTCTGACAATATTCATCTGAGGACATAAGAGTGCTCTGGATTTGATGACTACAGTTCAGTTCTACTGGGAGGATATTTATCCAAAGCATCATCTCCAGAAAGCCGGGGGCCAGAGCATGGCCATGGATGCTTAGGATTCCTATTAGGTGAACTTCATAGGTTCCAAAAGGAGCCTAAAGCAGGAACTGCTCATTTTATACCAGACCAGACCTAAAGCTATATTTAAAAAGGAGTCTAGTTGACTAATTCTAAGTTGTTTTTACCAGAAAGGCAAACCTGATGAATATGAAGGACTTTCCCCCCAGAAGAATGTACATATCCAGGTCTTGCAAACTTTGGCCCATCGTGGACCCCCAATTAAAAAACCTCTATCAAGGTGGTACACTAGGCTCCTTCAGGGCTGGGGACAGGCACTCTGGGGCAGTCTTCATCCAAGAAATGTTTTCACTCATACTCTTTCATCACTGATTCCCACAGGAATATAAACCCTCAATGTGATTCATCCCACTCTCTGGCATAGACTAATGAAAAGGAGCATATAATGAAGAAGTGTAATACTCTTAATACTGTAGGTACCTTAACAAACACACAGCAGAGAGCACCATAATTTATAACCCACCAAACCAGATGAGTATTTTCCACCAGTTCTTGCCCATATACTTACAGTCCTGGCCATGCACTTCATATTTCATTTCTATTTCTGTATGTTGTGCCTTCAGCAGGAGGGCTGCTTGTTTACCCAAGTTTCAATATTGTTATTAGCACTTTCTGGTCCTTTTTCTATCATGCTACTTTTGAATTTGCTTGCTGGCTTTGAAAGCCCAAAGACACCAAAAAGAGTTATAGTTCAAAAAATCATTGGACACCGCCTGATATCGGCTTAAATACAGCCCCTTTGAGGAGATGGAACATAATCACACTGTTCATTCTTTGCATATCTGTCTCAACATTTAATATTTTATTCAAGAAAAGATCAAATTACAAAAAGTTTTATTTTGGGAGAGGGGGACATGTGACATTCAGAAGTGGACTTGAGCTCTATTTTCAGAGCACTCTGTTGAGACTGCTAAAAACAATGGTTTACAGTTATTAAACCTTATTTCATGCCAGATTCCTGGCTAAGTCCTTTACATATCATACCTTATTTAATCCTCAGAGAAAACCAACTGAAGGAATGTGGCAAACTGGCTAGTTGGTCATCAAACTCGCTTCCCCTTGCTCTGAGCACACAGTTAGCTTGCTTTCCCAGCCTCCCTTACAGTTAGATGTCGCCATGTGACTGACTTCTGACTAACAGAATGTGGAAGAAAATAAGGAAAGCATCCTCTGTGCTTAGTCTATACAATCTTTTTTCTTAAACATTTAATTTATTTATTTGAGAGAGAGAGAGCACATGAGAGGGAGGAGGGTCAGAGGGAGAAGCAGACTCCCTGCCGAGCAGGGAGCCCGATGCAGGACTTGATCCAGGGACTCCAGGATCATGACCTGAGCCGAAGGGAGTCGCTTAACCAACTGAGCCACCCAGGTGCCCTAGTCTATACAATCTTACCCAGTCTTCCAGACTCTCTCATTTCACCCAACTGGTTGATTGCAGAGATCTGCAGAGCAGAAGGCAGAGCTACCAGATGGAAGGCACCTGAGTTGCTTAACTGCCACAGAGGATACCACCTTCATAATATCCACGGAGAACTCTTTTGTGAGCAAGAGATAAACTTCTATCCTCCTGAGTCACTGATATTTGGGGGTTATTTGTTCCATCAGTTAGACTGCACTGAAAGTACTTTTATGAGCACAGAGAAGTTAAGTAATCTGTTCATGGTCACATATCTAGAAAGAGGTGGCAGATCTGAATCCAGATGGTTTGTCTTTAGAAACCATTTTTTAAAAAAGATTTTATTTATTTATTTGACAGAGAGAGTATGTGCACACACGGAGGAGTGGCAGGCAGAGGGAGAAGCGGCTCCCTTGCTGAGCAGGTAATCCAACACAGGGCTTGATCCCAGGACCCTGGGATCATGACCTGAGCCGAAGGCAGACACTTAACCAACTGAGCCACTGAGGCATCCCTAGAAACCATTTTTAACTGCTATTCAATTATATTCCCTTTTCACAAGTTCATTTTTCTCATATATCACATAAAGTTTACTTATACCTGATTTAACTATATTTGAGGGAGGTGGCTGGATGGAGGTCCAAAATTTGGAATAGAGAAAAGATAATTTCTTCAAATAAATCCTTTGATTTCCTATCTCTTTATTAACCGTGTAAAAGGGAGGCCATGCCACTTAAACAACTTTGCAGGATACTTGTTATTTTGTGAATGTTTATATTCAGAGGTTCTTTAGTAGTTATTAATGCTCCACAACAAATTACCTTGAAAACTCAGTGGCTTAAAACATTTAGTGTCTCTCCAGTTTTTATGAGTCAGGAATTCAGCAGGGGCTTAGCTCACTGGTCTCTTATGAGGTTGCACACAAGATGTCCATTGGGGCTGCATCATCTGAAGGACCGACCAGGACTAAAGGATTGACATCCAAGTGACTCACTCATATAGCGGCCCAACTGGTCTGCTTGTTGGCAGGAAGCCTCACTTCCTCCCCACAGGGTTGTGTGACTACTGTCACAACATGGTAGCTTGCTTCCCCTAGAGTGAGCAAGTCCAGAAGCCAAAGCAAATGCTGCAAGTTCTTATTTGATCATTCTCCAGAGTCAGTCTCCATTAGTTTTGTAATTTCCTATCAATCACATTGGGATTAATACTAGGATCCCCTCTTCAGAGAGGGAACTACACAGAGCAGTGAATACCAGGTGACAAAGGGTCACTTGGAACCATTATGGAGGCCAAAAACCACAAGAGCCCATTTGTTCATCCACCAGATATGTACTGAGTGCCTACTGAGGACCTGGGGATAAAGCAGTGGACAAAACAGATAAAAGTCCCTGCATGCAAGAAGCATATATCCTAGTGGAGGTCAGAAAGGCAAGATATTTAATCAGTAGGCAAATTATGTACTATAGTAGGAAGTGTTAAATGCTGTGGAGATATAAAACAGTATCAGGGAGAAGGGGAATGCTGTAGTTGGGAATATATGCAATTTTAAACAGAAAGATCTAGGTAGGCCTCATTTAGAAGGCCTAAAAGAGGTGAGGAAGTATGCCATAAAGTTACGTGGAGAAAGATTATTCCAAGTGCTGGGAAAAGCAACTGCAAAGGCCTTGAGGTGTGTGTGCTGAGATGTGTAATGAACAGCAAGGCATTCAAGGTGGCCATTGGAGTGAACTAAAAGAGAAGGCCGTAGATGAGATGAGGTAAGTAACAGAGCCTGTGTAGGACCTTCCAGGCTCTTATAAGGGCTCTGACTTTCATGCTATGAAATGGGAAGTCACTGGAAGGTAATCAGCAGACGAATGATATGATTTGACTTAGCACTTAAAAAAATCTCACTCTGGTGGCTGTTATCAAAATAGACAGGCCAAGGGTAGGGGAAGGGAACAAATGAGGATGCTGTTGTAAATATTGAGACAAGAGATGATGACGGCTTGTGTCAGAGTATTATCAGTGCAGACAAGTGATAAGAAGTGGTCTGATTACAGATTTATTTTGCAGGCTATCTAGCACAATTAAATCACCATTCGAGGTAGAGTTTTCATTTAGGAGGTACAGCATTTTTTAAATTACTTTTTATTATATCCCAGCACTGTGGCTGTCAAATGGTGTTCTAAGGGACCCTACAAGTTCTGAGAAGCTTCTTAAGGATGTGCTACTCGGAACTAAGGTGGGACAGATGCATAAAACTTCATGGCCCCCATCCGAGTTTTGTAAGGGCAGCTCTGTTGACAAACTTCATTATGTGGGATGAGAGAGATCTTTTTAAGACCAGAAACTCCATGGCCCTAAAAGACAAGACAGACTCCTCCCAACAGAACAGTATGAAAAAATATACCATTTAGAGAACTGGAGGGTAAACTACAGATTAGGAAAAATATTGGCACTATAGATAAAAAAAAGGTTACCCTCCCTAATATTAAGGGAAAAACCTCAAATTCATGAGCAGACAACCACGTAAAAAATGGGTAAGGGGCCTCTTCTAAAGGAGGCTCACTTAGCACAGTTTTTAGTACAGAAAAAATGCTCAACCAATGTTGCCCACAACAACTGCTACCATAACCACCACTGCTCTTCCCTACTCTCCATTTGGCCACTGTTGCATGACAAGCTGATGACGATCACCAACATCACCACCATCAGCAGCAGCTTCAGCAGCATCATGGTGTAAGAGCCATTAGCAATGGGAACCTGCTTCAACCCTGAATGTCATGTCCAACTCAGGTTCCCCCCAAAGACGATTCTTCACTCACAATGACCAATGATATATTACCTTTTCGTGATTTTCTATTAGGATCTCAATAACAATGTTCTGAAACTTGATGTCCATGATGGCTGCTACTGTTTCTTCCTGAGGACGCAGCAGGGTGGGTCCAAACACCACGCCAAGGTTTGCCACTGTCATCAGATTCTGCTTGTGGTTGTTAGCAACACTGAGAGGAAGGAAAAGAAAAGGCACAAATGAGAGAAAGACAGGACAAATAGACAGCTGACTTCCCTATCTTCAGACTCCTCATCCGATAGGAGCCAGACTCTGGGACGTCTTAGGATGTCTTTGAGTCCAAAGAGAGACTTCTCTACTTGTATTTTTGTCCCCCAAAGTCTTCAGAAATCTTCAGTATTCTGGCTATTTTGCTCTTCCAGGACATGACACTCCTTTACCCAATTCTGTTTTGCCTACCAACCACCAACCAACCAACCAACCAAAGCAGCTGCCCTCCAAAATGTGAAACTTTGCACATCTGATTCCCTGTTCTGCAAATCCAGCTAACTGCTCATCTCTTTTAGTTACGACTTTTATACTTGGCTGTTGCTTAAACCACTGTGATCTTTAGCATTTTCTCTAGTGCAAATATAAAAACTCTTGATGGCTTTAATACACTTGCAAATACAGGCACAAAACAAGACCTAAATTTTTTAAAAAAATTTTTATTGATATGTTAATCACCATATATTACATCATTAGTTTTTGATGTAGTGTTCCATGATTCATTGTTTGTACATAACACCCAGTGCTCCATGCAGAATGTGCCCTCTTTAATACCCATCACCAGGCTAACCCATCCCCCTACCCTCCTCCCCTCTAGAACCCTCAGTTTGTTTTTTAGAGTTCATCGTCTCTCATGGTTCGTTTCCCCCTCTGATTTACTCCCCTTCATTCTTCCCCTACTGCTATCTTCTTCTTTTTCTTTTTTCTTAACATATGTTGCATTATTTGTTTCAGAAGTACAGATCTGTGATTCAACAGTCTTGCACAATTCACAGTGCTCACCATAGCACATACGCTCCCCAATGTCTATCACCCAGCCACCCCATCCCTCCCACCCCCCACCACTCCAGCAACCCTCAGTTTGTTTCCTGAGATTAAGAATTCCTCATATCAGTGAGGTCATATGATACATGCCTTTCTCTGATTGACTTATTTCACTCAGCATAACACCTTCCAGTTCCATCCACGTCATTGCAAATGGCAAGATCTCATTCCTTTTGATGGCTGCATAATATTCCATTGTGTATATATACCACTTCTTGATCCATTCATCTGTCGATGGACATCTTGGCTCTTTCCACACTTTGGCTATTGTGGACATTGCTGCTATAAACATTGGGGCGCATGTACCCCTTCGGATCCCTACATTTCTTTGTGGTAAATACCCAGTAGTGCAATTGCTAGATCGTATGGTAGCTCTATTTTCAACTGTTTGAGGAACCTCCATACTGTTTTCCAGAGGGGTTGCACCAGCTTGCATTCCCACCAACAGTGTAGGAGGGTTCCCCTTTCTCCACATCCCCGCCAACATCTGTCGTTCCCTGACTTGTTAATTTTAGCCATTCTGAGTGGTGTGAGGTGGTATCTCATTGAGGTTTTGATTTGGATTTCCCTGATGCCGAGCGATGTTGAGCACTTTTTCATGGGTCTGTTGGCCATTTGGATGTCTTCTTTGGAAAAATGTCTGTTCATGTCTTCTGCCCATTTCTTGATTGGATTATTTGTTCTTTGGGTGTTGAGTTTGATAGGTTCTTTATAGATTTTGGATACTAGCCCTTTACCTGATATGTCATTTGCAAATATTTTCTCCCATTCTGTCGGTTGTCTTTTGGTTTTGTGGACTGTTTCTCTTGCTGTGCAAAAGCTTTTTATCTTGATGAAATCCCAATAGTTCATTTTTGCCCTTGTTTCCCTTGCCTTTGGCGATGTTTCTAGGAAGAAGTTGCTGCGGCTGAGGTCGAAGAGGTTGCTACCTGTGTTCTCCTTTAGGATTTTGATGGACTGCTGTCTCACATTTAGGTCTTTCATCCATTTGGAGTCTATTTTTGTGTGTGGTGTAAGGAAATGGTCCAGTTTCATTCTTCTGCATGTGGCTGTCCAATTTTCCCAACACCATTTGTTGAAGAGACTGTCTTTTTGCCATTGGACATCTTTCCTGCTTTGTCAAAGATAAGTTGACCATAGAGTTGAGGGTCCATTTCTGGGCTCTCGATTCTGTTCCATTGATCTATGTGTCTGTTTTTGTGCCAGTACCATACTGTCTTGATGATGACAGCTTTGTAATAGAGCTGGAAGTCTGGAATTGTGATGCCCGCCAGCTTTGCTTTTCTTTTTCAATATTCCTCTGGGTATTCGGAGTCTCTTCTGGTTCCATACAAATTTTAGGATTATTTGTTCCATTTCTTTAAAAAAAGTGGATGGTATTTTGATGGGGATTGCATTGAATGTGTAGACTGCTCTAGGTAGCATTGACATCTTCACAATGTTGATTCTCCCAATCCATAAGCATGGAATATTTTTCCATTTCTTTGTGTCTTCTTCAATTTCTCTCATGAGTATTTTATAGTTTTCTGAGTACAGATCCTTTGCCTCTTTGGTTAAATTTATTCCTAGGTATCTTATGGTTTTGGGTGCAATTGTAAATGGGATCGACTACTTGATTTGTCTCTCTTCTGTCTTGTTGTTGGTGTATAGGAATGCCACTGATTTCTGTGCATTGATTTCATATCCTGCTACTTTACTGAATTCCTGTATGAGTTCTAGCAGTTTTGGGGTGGAGTCTTTTGGGTTTTCCACATACAATGTCATATCATCTGCAAAGAGTGAGAGTTTGACTTCCTCTTTGCCGATTTGGATGCCTTTAATTTCTTTTTGTTGTCTGATTCCTGTGGCTAGGACTTCTAATACTATGTTGAATAGCAGTGGTGAGAGTGGACATCCCTGCCGCGTTCCTGACCTTAGGGGAAAAGCTCTCAGCTTTTCCCCATTGAGAATGATATTCGTTGCAGGTTTTTCATAGATAGCTTTTATGATATTGAGGTATGTACCCTCTATCCCTATACTCTGAAGAGTTTTGATCAAGAAAGGATGCTGTACTTTGTCAAATGCTTTTTCTGCATCTATTGAGAGAATCATATGATTCTTGTTCTTTGTTTTGTTAATGTATTGTATCACGTTGATTGATTTGCGGATGTTGAACCAGCCTTGCAGCCCAGGGATAAATCGCACTTGGTGGTGGTGAATAATCCTTTTAATGTACTGTTGGATCGTATTGGCTACTATGTTGGTGAGAATTTTTGCATCCATGTTCATCAAGGATATTGGTCTGTAATTCTCCTTTTTGATGGGGTCTTTCTCTGGTTTTGGGATCAAGGTAATGGTGGCCTCATAAAACGAGTATGGAAGTGTTCCTTCCATTTCTATTTTTTGTAACAGTTTCAGGAGAATACATATTAATTCTTCTTTAAATGTCTGGTAGAATTCCCCTGGGAAGCCATCTGGCCCTGGGCTTTTGTTTCTTGGGAGATTTTTGATGACTGCTTCAATTTCCTTAGTGGCTATAGGTCTGTTCAGGTTTTCTATTTCTTCCTGGTTCAGTTTTGGTAGTTGATACATCTCTAGGAATGCACCCATTTCTTCCAGGTTATCTAATCTGCTGGCATAGAGTTGCTCATAATATGTTCTTATCATTGTTTGTATGTCTTTGGTGTTGGTTGTGATCTCTCCTCTTTCATTCATGATTTTGTTGATTTGGGTCATTTCTCTCTTCTTTTTGATAAGTCCGGGCAGGGGTTTATCAATCTTGTTAATTCTTTCAAAGAACCAGCTCCTAGTTTCGTTGATCTGTTCTACTGTTCTTTTCGTTTCTAAACGAAACGTTCATTGATTTCTGCTCTGATCTTGATTATTTCTCTTCTCTTGCTGGGTTTAGGCTTTATTTGCTGTTCTTTCTCCAGCTCCTTTAGGTGTAGGGTTAGGTTGTGTATTAGAGACCTTTCTTGTTTCTTGAGAAAGGCTTGTATTGCTATATACTTTCCTCTCAGGACTGCCTTTGCTGTATCCCAAAGATTTTGAACAGTTGTCTTTTCATTTTCATGGGTTTCCATGAATTTTTTTAATTCTTCTTTAATTTCCTGGTTGACCCATTCATTCTTTAGTAGGATGCTCTTTAGCCTCCATGTATTTGAGTTCTTTCCGACTTTCCTCTTGTGATTGAGTTCTAGTTTCAAAGCATTATGGTCTGAAAACATGCAGGGAATAATCCCAATCTTTTGGTAGTGGTTGAGACCTGATTTGTGACCTAGGATGTGATCTATTCTGGAGAATGTTCCATGGGCACTAGAGAAGAGTGTGTATTCCGTTGCTTTGGGATGGAATGTTCTGAATATGTCTGTGAAGTGCATTTGGTCCAGTGTGTCATTTAAAGTCTTTCTTTCCTTGCTGATCTTTTGCTTAGATGATCTGTCCATTTCAGTGAGGGGGTGTTAAAGTCCCCCACTATTATTGTATTGTTGTCAATGTGTTTCTTCGCTTTTGTTATTAATTGCCTTATAAAATTGGCTGCTCCATGTTAGGGGCATAGATATTTACAGTTGTTAGATCTTCTTGTTGGATAGACCCTTTAAGTAGGATAGAGTGTCCTTCCTCATCTCTTATTACAGTCTTTGTTTTAAAATCTAATTTGTCTGATATAAGGATTGCCACCCCAGCTTTCTTTTGGTGTCCATTAGCATGGTAAATGGTTTTCCACACCCTCACTTTCAATCTGGGGCTGTCTTTGGGTCTAAAATGAGTCTCTTGCAGACAGCATATGGATGGGTCTTGTTTTTTAATCCAATCTGATAGCCTATGTCTTTTGATTGGGGCATTGAGCCCATTTACATTCAGGGTAACTATTGAAAGGTATGAATTTAGTGCCATTGTATTGCCTGTAAGGTGACTGTTCCTGTATATTGTCTGTGTTCCTTTCTGATCTATGCTGCTTTTAGGCTCTCCCTTCGCTTAGAGGACCCCTTTCAATATTTCTTGGAAGGCTGGTTTTGTGTTTGCAAATTCCTTTAGTTTTTGTTTGTCCTGGAAGCTTTTTATCTCTCCTTCTATTTTCAATGACAGCCTAGCTCGATATAGTATTCTTGGCTGCATATTTTTCTCGTTTAGTGCTCT